CTGAAGGAACAAAACAGTAGCAGACTCACAGAACCCAAGAATGGACTAACAGTTACCAAAGGGAAAGGTACTGGGGAGGATGGGTAGGAAAGGAGGGATAAGGGGGATAAAGGGACATTACTATTAGCACACATGTGGGGGTGTGGCACGGAGAAGGCAGTATAGCACAGAGAAGACAAGTAGTGATTCTACAGTATCTTAGTACACTGATGGACAGTGACTGTAATGGGGTATGTGGTGGGGTCTTGATAATGGGGGAAGTCTAGTAACCATAATGTTGCACATGTTATTGTACCAAATTAATGATACCATTAATGATTTTTATTTTGATAAAATAAAATTCAATTTTGTACCAAACTAATGATACCATTAATGATATCAAAATAAAAAATAAAAAAGTAAAAAAAAAAAAAATCGTTGCAGCCATGGAACTGATAAGAAACAATGAATAAATGTACTCTTTTAGATCGTAGAGCCAGACAAAACTACTGAACTCTGCTATAGTATTACAGAAGCACCAAAGACAACATGTAAAGGAATGAGCACAGCTGTGTTCCAATTAAAGTTTTTTATAGACCCTGAAAAACAAAATTATCAGACATTTTCAAGTTCTCATTCAAAACTCCCAATCGTACTAGTAAAATAGTTTAACAATTAGACAATGCTATCACTACATAAAAGACCTGCTAACAGTAAGAAACAGAACTAGTGTTGTCCTAAATGGTGCATTACAAAATTACTACAAAGACCTTCATATTTAGTAAAGTCTCACTTCAGACAAAATTAGCATGTAAAACCAAGAAAATAACTTTAACACTGAGAAATATAATACATAAATTCTAGTTACATTTGACTGCAATCTGCTTTATAACTGGGAAATGGTAACTTCTTTTCATGGGCTACCTTTCCCTCATTTATAAAATAAGGCTCTATAAGCGGTTTTCAACTCAGTATCTTGGACTATGTTCCTATTTCAGATAGCCTAACAGAAACCACACATTTGCTTATGACAGGATATACCGAAAAAAATTTCCAGTTTCTTAGTCTTTGAATAAAATGGATTATTACAGAATTTTATCATGTGCTCATTTCAGCTGATTACAAGTTCAGCTGTATGTTTGCATAGCTATATTTAATAAAAATTAAAAAGTTGTAATTATTAACAAACATAGATCAACACAGAAAGATCCAAGGCAGGAAGTAGATTAACATAAATAGTATTACTTGCAGCAAATACTATTTAATACTTATGACATAACACAATGTCAGTCTTTATTCAATGACCAAAAAATATTTAAGAAGCATTAAGTTAGATAATTTCTAGGCTCTAACTGTTACGAGTTGAAATGTGTATCTCAAAAGTTCACTTACTGAACTCTGAACCAGAGTATCTCAGAATGTTATTTTACTTGGAAAGAGGGTCACTGCAGAGGTGCTCAGTTAAGGTGAAGTCATATGGGAGTAGGGCAGGCCCCAATCCACCATGACTGGAATCCTTGTCAAAAGGAGAAATCAGGGTACATACAGAAATACCTACAACATAATGTGATGAAGCAAGAGATCAGGGGGATGGTTCCACAAGGCAAGGAACACCAAAGACTGTCAGTAAACCATGAGAAGTTAGAGGAGACACAAGAACAGACTCTTCCTCACAGCCCTCAGAAATAACCAATCCTGCCAGTGTGTTGCCACCAGAATCCTGAGACAATGTTTCTGCTGTTCAAGCCACCCAGTTTATGGTACATGTTTTATGGCAACTGTAGCAATCTAAAGGAGGCTCCTTTTACTTCTAATAAGTAGTTAATTGTACTTTAAAGTCAACTTTGAAGACGTATCGCAGAAAATAAAAATGATGACACATGGGTATATACTTCAAGTCTATATACAAACCTGTAGTTCAGTAAGAACTGTTTTATGCTTCTTGTTACATTATTCACTTACTGAACTCTGAACCAGAGTATCTCAGAATGTTATTTTACTTGGAAAGAGGGTCACTGCAGAGGTGCTCAGTTAAGGTGAAGTCATATGGGAGTAGGGCAGGCCCCAATCCACCATGACTGGAATCCTTGTCAAAAGGAGAAATCAGGGCACATACAGAAATACCTACAACATAATGTGATGAAGCAAGAGATCAGGGGGATGGTTCCACAAGGCAAGGAACACCAAAGACTGTCAGTAAACCATGAGAAGTTAGAGGAGACACAAGAACAGACTCTTCCTCACAGCCCTCAGAAATAACCAATCCTGCCAGTGTGTTGCCACCAGAATCCTGAGACAATGTTTCTGCTGTTCAAGCCACCCAGTTTATGGTACATGTTTTATGGCAACTGTAGCAATCTAAAGGAGGCTCCTTTTACTTCTAATAAGTAGTTAATTGTACTTTAAAGTCAACTTTGAAGACGTATCGCAGAAAATAAAAATGATGACACATGGGTATATACTTCAAGTCTATATACAAACCTGTAGTTCAGTAAGAACTGTTTTATGCTTCTTGTTACATTCAATCTTTTCCACTCGTGTTTTCAATTCTGCCAAAGTCTTATCAAATACATGACACTGTAGAGAACATATTTTTTCTTCCAGCAACCAGCGTATAACCTGAAGAAATATATATTCCTTTGTTTACAGCAAAGAAGGCATTTTAACAGGCAGCAAACAGTAAACATTTTTAAGTACTAGTAAGACAGTACAAATGTATTAACTAGCTTAATGAAAAAGCATGTTGGCATCAGTAACACAATGCTATCTGCTGAAAGCTTCCACTTCAACATATACACTATCTACCACAAGAGAATACAGTAAAACAGAAAATTTCCAGGGGGTGAAATTTTTTAAGTAATTTGAAATTCAAGTATTAATCTTTTCTTCCTACATCCTCTATCATGATTTAAAAGAAACCAGTTAAAGAAAAGGACCAGTTTTTTAAATTTCTAATCTGCTGATGATACCTCGTGAAACACTAAGTATGTCACTGGACTATGATATTTCTATAGACCATTTCTAAATGTCTGCTCACAATTTATGTATTTATCTCATTATGGACTCATAACAAATAAGACACATGGTACATGTCTAGGGACCATACTTGAGTAACACTGTTCTAGAGGAGTAAACTCCCAGAACACAGTTCTCAAAATTCTTTCACATAAGCTATTTTCATATTTCAGCTTTATGAGAATGGCTAAATAAGCATTAGTATCTCCATATGATAAATAAGAAACTCGGAGACAAAAAGCCAGTTTTTTTACTCCCTCACTATTCCTTTTTCTAGTATAGATATGTATACTGTATCTTATTAGAACAACATTCGTTTAAAATCTAGATTACTTATAATTTCATCATTAAATCTCTAAGACCTTGAAAAATTAATTTCACTTGCATTTGGTATTCCTGTCTTAAAAAGGCATTTGTCATAAGCATTTTGAGTACATTTTGAAAAATATATTAATTACTGCATATTTTCAGTATTTCTCTCCCTAGTTTAACAGTTATAGGGGGAAGTTTCCTAAGTCTGTACTTGCTTTCCCTAGTTCTTCTAAAGACTTGTTTCTACCTTTTTTAATACTAAGTCTAAGTATATAACAAAGATTTTTAAATGTAGGAACTTATAACCATGAAAACTTGCTTATTATAAAGATTAAAATGTTAATATATAAAACTAATGTTTCTACTAGAATAAATTTCAATATAGAAGAAAAAATCTGAAAACTGATAAGATTTTTCACTAGCAACTATCATCATATCTCTCTCTTCCATTTTGATAATTACTACCATGTTAAAAAAAATATAGCTTTAAGAGTCAGAAGGAATTAAAAAATTAAGAACAATAAGCTCAACCACTTTCTTTCTATAAAAAACCTCAATGTCAGTAAAATGCAGAATAATGTCAAAAACCTAGAAGAATAAAAATGGTACTTTTTTTGACTAAATATGTTTTTTTAACATATAATCTCTAACACCTTTTGTAGCTTCTGGTTAATATCTCCTTTGGCTGTAATCTTTACTTGAAATTCTGCCTCATATTCTTCTTCCATGTATCGACGGCGTTTGGACTGTACATTGTCCATGTCCTCTGATTTAGAACGTTTTCTTCTGGAAAATTCACCTAAGAATAAAAAGCATGATGGTCTGGTCAGTCAGGTGTCTTTATTATAGACATTAATGCCTAGTCTCCACATCCTCATAGAAATATTATTTCTAGCTACCATAATAGCACTGTCAGTCATAAGAATTGTTTTTGAGACCAGAAAAGTAGGAAGGTAGCTTTTAGTTTTAAACTTGAAATGATTTTCAATATGCTAAATAAGAACTTCCTAATAGCTAAGCAATGTACAATGTGAACACACAACATTCTTTCCTTGAAACCTTCATAGTAAGATGGAATATGAATATGAATAAAATATGAATATTAGATGAGAAGAAATCAAATACATTCCCTTTGCTAAACTTTATAGTACACATGAATACTCTGACAAAATACAGATTTCATTCTCATGTCATATATTTCTAACAACTGTACAAAGCTTTAATTATTTAATTCTTCCTTCTGAGTAAATGTTTTCCTCAGTAAATTTAGGAAAAATTATTAATCATCAGCCTTAGGAAAATAACAGAATAATAGTTATTCTTAACATAAATCCTAATGATTTCACATATATAAAAATTAAGTTAATGAAAGTAAATTTGGCAAAGAATAGATATTCAAAGATCTTAGAAAATTCTTATTTCAAATACTGGTAACATTCATGAAATCTAAGCAAATTTTTTCTGATTTCAATATGTAGTAAGTATAAGAATAATAACATTTCTACACATATTAAAAGGCAAATGTCCTTACGTGACCACATTTATTCCCTCTCCACTTCACTCTATATTCATATCTATGTGCCTATTTTTTAAATCCAGTTCTATCCACAACTTCTCTTATAATCATACCTAATATAATCATACATGGAGAACAGCATGACAGGGAGTTTCAGAATCCAGGTTTCCTGACTTCTAGTTCAATGACATTCCTATACACTGAATAGCACTCAGTCCCATCACTTCCCCTTCCCATGAAGCTTAAGAACCTTAAACAGACATGAGCCACATACTTCCATTCACTTACATCACCCCAGACAAAATTCTTACAGCCATGCTCTAAACATAAATCTAAAACAATTTCTCTTAAACATTCAGACAGTACCTTATGAAATACTAAGTTTAAATCTTTCTTGTGGAACTGAAAGAATAGATAAATAAATAAATATTTATATAGTATATAAAATAACACTTTCAAAAATCCTTGGGTGAGCCATCAATGCAATGATTTCTGTGGCTTACATCAACTATACAATTTTACAATTAGATCACAGATAGGAAAATATATTCCACAGCCTTAAAAGAAGAAACAATGAATTACAGTTTTTTAAACTAGTTTAGGTGTTTTGCAAATGCTTACTTTTCTCAGGTCTTTCATCATGAACTGCTTGCTCTTCTTTAGGTTTGTGGTCCTTTTCATTTCTTTCTTCTTCTGCTGTAACAAAATTGAAAAAGGAAATATTACTTCCATTAGAATTAGTAACAGCTCATATCTATACAACTGCATTATAACAACAAGTAAAATCCCAGGGGTCGACCAGAAATGGCCTTTGGTCAATCAATCTGTATCTTCTTAGGTAACTTATAATCACTAAATGCAGAGAACGATTATGTTTGTATTTCTATTTTTTCCTTATATCACTGCAACTGGCTTCTCAAAGGCTTCAATAAAGAATGCTCTCTTTCATCATATACTGCAACCAAAATCAGTATTCACAAGGTATATAGCAATATATGAAGATTTTGACATGACATTTCTTCTCCAAACACCAGGTTTTTTAAATCTCCACAGCACTGATGGCAGGAGTCAAAGTTAAAAAATTTAGATGACCTTTTAGATGAAAATAGGCAGACACCAGGATTATTGATAAGCCTATTAAAGCTCCTACAAATATATTTTTATATTAAAATAAAACTGTAAAGCTATAAAACCTGACTATAGTAAAAATAAAAAATCTTACAAGTACATAAAGATTACTAAAACTATTTTTAAGCCTCAAAATAAGTATTAGAAAATTAACTTTCCATTTACCACCTTATGTTCATTTGAAATCCTTCAACACCTCATCCCTCAACCCCTTTCAATGAAATAAAAATACATTTTGCTCCCTTGTAGACTACAAACTCATTACAAAGCATTTTTTCCCCTACATATGGTTTTCTAAATCCTCCTGATTTTAATACTGAAGGTGGTAACTCCTGAGTTTCCAACTTCCCAGAGTCACAAAAACAGAGTAATTGGGTTGCTTGAGATGAAGGGTTACATAGTCTTTGTTTGGCAAATCGTCATAGCACCGAAAGAATAAAATTAGCCATGGTCTAATTAGGGTAACTGTAAGCCAGATAACCCAGAATGCAGCAGAGCAAACTGGCCTGGTTTTGTCTGCCTATTTTATGCATGTATTAATTCCCTCTCCTCTTACAGATAGGTCAAGCTTAGCTTGACATTCCTTCATTCTACTCAAAAACCTCTTCCTACCACCCAATTCCCATTTTCCAGATATGCTTAGAAGACATGATCAGCTTTTCAACACTCAACACTTAGGTCAAAATACTCATTGGGATTTTAGAATAGACACAAACAATTTTTAATGGAAATAATTTGGGATAAGAAAAATGGGATAGGAGAAGTTCTACAGAAAGGAGCAAGGCACTCTATTTAATTATTTTGTTCACAAAGCCTCTAGAGAATCTGAGGTAGACCTCCTTCAACCTAAAATAACAATTGAAGGCCCATGCACACAGACATTTTAATATAATTTCAAGTAGCTACTGGGACTCCTGAAGCTCATCCAAATACTTAGGAGACTGTCTTTTTTAAAATGTCTTCATTCACAGGTAATTTCTGCTATAATTCCTCTGGTCTTCAATACAGCCTTCATTACAAGTCAGCATGTCACCACATATGGTTCTGTGTACAGTATTCTTTCAACCAGAGCAGACAGTAAGCTCACCAACAGCAGGTACTAGCTCTTGTATTTTTGGTAACCCTAAAAACTTTGGGAAAGAGCTAAGAAAAAGTACATGTTTAGTATCTATTTGATGACTGCTATGTTTTAAAATTCCATTAAATAAAGGTAGAAAAGCTGTGTTGTAGAGGATTAGAAGATAGCATTTACACAAGGGAGTTAGTTCTCATTTTCAGAATTACACTATATAGAACCTTATTCCAAAGAAATATTAGCAAAGCTATTGCCTTAGATAAGGGGTTGTAAACATTTTGTAAACAGCCAAAAACTAAGTAGTTCCAGTCTTGTGGGTCACATGGCCTCTGATGCCACTACTTAATTGTCTTCGTGGTGAGAATCAATGATAAGCAATATGTACTATGGAAACAAACAGATTGGGCTATGTTCTAATAAAACTTTACTGACAAAAACAGGGCCTACAGGTCACAGTTTGTTGATCCTATGTGTTAAATTACTGGCTTTATGAGAATATTTAAAAGAAAACAAAAAATTCCTCAGATTAAAGACATATATACATTAGAAAAATGGACAAAGGAGATGAAAGGCTATTTAGAGATAAGGAAACACAAATGACCAATAAACATACAAAGATTCTCAACTTCACAAGACCTATCAGAAAAATATAATGTGACTTTTGCAGAAATTTTTAGGTTTTATTTAACTAATATAAAGTTCAAATTTTATCTTCCACAGTGAATTTTTATGCCCCCCTTTAAAGCAAAACTTGTGGGGGGGGAATGTTGCATTTTATTGTCTCCAATTCTTCAATTCTCTCTGAAATCCAATTTCAAATAGGCTTTTAAATCCACTGCCCCTTGTCCAGGTCACAAATGATCTCCAAGTCATTAAATATTGCTCTTTCATCTTAACTTGAACAAACAGCAGCATTTGATAGAGCTGAGTTCATTATGCCTTCATCCATGAAACAGCCTTTACCTTTACTTGACTACTAAGACAACATCTCCTGTTTTTCTTTCTTCCCAAAGCACTGCTCCTTGCTTGGTCTCCTTTGCTGGTTCTTCCTCATCTCAACCTCTGAACACTGGAATGCCAAGAGCTCAGTTCTTGAATCTCCTCTCATCTCCATTTATACCCACTTGAGGTAATTTCATTTTATCACAGTCAATTTCAATAAGCATCTATAAGCCATCTCTTCTTAAATTTTTCTGGACAGTCCAACCCTCTGTTCTGAAATCTAGACATGTATCTATTGGGCAAAAACAGTAATTTGAAACTGATCTTCCTTTTTACATTCCTCTCTCCAAAATATGCTTCAGATTCATCTTCCTCAAAGAAAAATCTGCAACTTCATGTTAATGTAAAACATTAAGAGGTTCTACAAATAAAAGCCAAATATATAAAAAATAAATGAATGTAAGTGGGTTAAGAATTTTGGCTGAACATAATAAATACAGACAAGAAATATAAATAAATCTTAAATGACTGAACAATTCTATCTGATAGCAATTCTATCAGTATTAACCTAAAGCAAAAGTAGAAAGAAACCTTGAATTCTATGCCTGTGCAATTATCCTCCTTAGCACTTATGTTCATCTTATTTATCTTCAAGATCCAAAGAACAGGTAAAAACAAATCAACCACTGACATATTTTTAATCTGAAATGAAATATGAAAGGAAACTATGTCAGAATTTAATGTCAAATCTGGTCTACTCTAAAACAGATTTTCCTCCTCAAAAATATTAATAGCAATGTCTGAAAAAGCAAATGTAGGAGAGCTCTGCCTCCTATTTTTCCATAGGAAACAGAATGAGAAAGGCCAAAAAGGAGGAAAAAACAGAGAATGCACTATCCCCAAAACTAAGAGTATCAAGAGGGAAGGTGTATTGTAAGACACCATACAAGTGGGAGAGAATAAAAATCAAAATAATGATGCCCTTCAATTTAACAGCATGAACATCAATACCACTTTCATTGAGAAAATTAAGAGGCAAGACTGACAAGGTGAAAATCAAATTCAATTAAGTTAACAAGTAAAGAAGATGAGAAGAAAGGGCGCTAGCTTTGTTGACATAACTTGCAGAATAGCTCTGAGAGTGAAGAAAGGAACAGTAGTTACAGGAAGGGATGGAGAATGCATGTAAGGTATCACTAATGTGTACATCCTCCTCTAGTGTTGCTTGAACTTTCCTAGAGAGAAATCTTTACTTTTCTAGCCTTCTTAAACAGAATATGATTTTAATCATTTAGTGAATATCAGTTATTATATGTTATGCAATAATATGATAGTGTCTTCAGGCTTACTAAGGTGTATCTCCAACACTTTTTTAAGGTCTTCTACTACTGTAAAATTACAGCTTTCTGTTTGTTTTCTGATATTTTTCATTATGTTTTGTTGTTCATACTCATACGGCTATATTTAAAAAAGACCTGCTAAAGAAGTGCCTGAAATGATAGAGGTTTATGCTTTCTTATTTGTACAGTACATAAATGTTAGTCAATAGATGGAAAGAGCCAGACTTCAATACTTCAGCTTATATTCTGTTCTGAAAACATTAAAAATTAGTCAAGAATAAAGAATCTGATCAAAGTTAATACCTCAGAAGGTACACAGAAACAAATATGACATGTAACAAGTTTTTGCCACCATATACACAAAACAGAGTATAGCTTAAGAACCAGTGAACAAACTGTTTCAACTCATAGTACACAAGATTTCCTTGCAGGAGAGGAACAGAAAATAAAAGTTTAGCTACAAACTATCATAAAACTTACTCTGCTCTATCTAATAGCATACAATCACATAAAAGTCTCAAGTAAATACCCAAAGATAAACCTAACTTTGAATCTTCAAAACATGGATAGCTTAATATTCATCTATCTGCACTTAATAGTATTATGTGTGAGAGATGATCTCCAAACTGACATAATCTCTAAGACTGACAGAAAGGTAAAATATATAAACTCTTTAAATAAAAATGAAATTTGCTATGACTCTCTATGGAGACTACCAACAGGGTTCTTAAAGGATATGGCCCAATACTACTCTCTGTGTAAGTACTTACTGAGTGAATGACTTTGCCCAAACATTGTTACCTGTTTTCTTTCCAAAATGTAAATTTCATCATGTCATTTTCCTTTACTGGAAATCATTTCCCAGTGAATGATTAGAATGCTATTAGAATGCTGGAGCATTATAACCACGGTCCTCCATAATATACTTCTCTTACATAACAAGTTATTAATTTACTCCACAAATATTTACTAAGCCTTCCTTGTGAGCTGGCATTATTTTGGCCTGATGATGATAGCAGTGAAGATGTAAAAAGACACTGGATTCTAGATCTATTCTGAAGGTAGGGCCATTAGGATTTCCTGATTGATTAGATATGGGTTTTGAAAGAAAAAAATAAGAATGGTTCTAAGTGTTTGGCCTGAGCAAATAGGATGGAACTGCAATGAAGAGCGATTCTCTTCATTAAACCCTACTGTTTACACAGATAGTGAAAGTAAAGCACTTTCCTGAATACTTCTATGATCTCACAAAGTCACCGTCTTCTCAATACCTAGAATACCAATCCAACATTATTACTGTATTCACAGCCTTGCATTTAATGGCTTGCAATTTAATTCTTGTCTTTATTCTGAGGGCAAGTACTAAAGTTTACTTTTAAATCCTCAAAACGAAGACTAGTCTGGCCTGTCTCTCTATGCAGGCTTAAGAAATGAATGCTCACAACTTCTTCCTGAACGCATCTCCTTGAGCAAAGGAAACAAAAGCAAAAATGAACTCACGGGACTACATCAAACTAAAAAGTTTCTGTACAGCAAACGACACCATCAACTGTACAAAAAGGCATCATACAGTATGGGGGAATATATTTGTAAATAACATATCTGACAAGGGGTTAACATCCAAAATATATAAAGAATTTACATGCCTCAAGACCCAAAAAGCAAATAAGCTGATTAACAAATAGGCAGAGGATATGAAGACAGTTCTCCAAAGAAATTCGGATGGCCAACAGACACATGAAAAGAGGCTCATCATCACTAATCATCAGGGAAATATGAATTAAAACCACAATGAGATATTACCTCACACCAGTAAGGATGGCCAGCATCAAAAAGACTAAGAACAACAAATGCTGGCAAGTATGTGGAGAAAGGGGAACCCTCCTACACTGCTGGTGGGAATGTAAGCCAGTTCAACCATTGTGGAAAGCAATATGAAGGTTCCTCAAAACACTAAAAATAGAAATACTATTTGACCTGGGAATCCCACTCCTTGGAATTTACCCAAAGAATACAACTTCTCAGATTCAAAAAGACATATGCACCCCTATGTTTATCGCAGCACTTTATACAATAGCCAAGATATGGAAACGACCTAAGTGTCCATCAGTAGATGAATGGATAAAGAAGATGTGGTACATATACACAATGGAATACTATTCGGCCATAAGAAACAAATTCTATCATTTTCAACAACATGGATGGAGCTGGAGGACATTATGCTCAGTGAAATAAGCCAGGTGGAGAAAGACAAATGCCAAATGATTTCCCTCATTTGTAGAGTATAACAATGAAGCAAAACTGAAGGAACAAAATAGCAGCAGACTCAGAGACTCTAAGAATGAACTAGTGGTTACCAAAGGGGAGAGTGGGGAGGGTGGGTGGGGAGGGAGGGAAAAGGGTTTGAGGGGTATTATGTTTAGTACACATGGTGTGGGTGATCACGGGGAGAACAGTGTAGCACAGAGAAGGCACACAGTGGATCTCTGGCATCTCACTACACTGATGGACAGTGACTGCACTGGGGTATGGGTGGGGACTTAACAATATGGGTAAATGTAGTAACCACATTGTTTTTTCATGTGAAACCTTCATAAGAGTGTATATCAATCATACCTTAATAAAAATAAATTTTAAAAATTTAAAAAAAAGGAAATGAATGCTCACTCTTTGGAAATGAAGTTATCTTTTACTAAGAAAAAAAACATCCATCTCCAAGAGCTGGTATGATACACTGAGGGAAAAAACCCTGTCTCCTAGGCCTGCCTTTTTTTCCCTTTGAACAAACTAGAAACCAGATCCTGTATTTCATGCTACAAAGTCACAGAGCTCTAAGGCTTAGAGAATGATACAATGGGAACATAATGATATTCAAGCCAGTCTGAAAGGAACTGAGAACGTTTCTTATCTCTGTTTCTTAGACTACAAATGTAAGAATGATATTTGAGTCTGACCACGAAAGCAAAATAGGATTTTTCTTATTCTCTCCTCTTTTATTCTAGGAATAATAAAAGAGATGGGAGAAGATATATGTTGAACAAATCATTAGTTTATAAAACTTTTATGTAAGGGTTTGGAATTAATCTAAAAATAGGGATCTAATCAAAGAGAGGAACACAATCAAGTAAAAGAAACAGGTTACAGAAAGGTCTTTCAGAAGATGAAGGGGAAGATAATGTTGGGTAGTTCCAAATAAATGGATGAAGTCTTTATCAACTAGGTTTCTGGCTTCAAGCAATGGTGGTGCCATTCTCCCAGCAAAGAATATTAAAAGAATCAGACTGCAAAGGCAAATTAATTGTAAAATGTGATCTGTTACATTTGAAGCAAATAAATTAAACAAACAGGCTTTTAGATTCAGAGTTATTTAGTTACTAATAGCAAGAACAACTGCTAGGACTTTGATCGGTTATGTACTGAGTTGAAATTGTTATCTCATAGTATTATTTTGGTCTATCTTACTCTGTTTCTTAGACTACAAGACCCTTAAAGGGCAAGGAGTATATTTTTTACTTATTTTTATCTTCCTCAGCACTTCACATAATGTTGCTCACAGAGTGTATACTTCGTAATTCTAAGTTATCCAAAGGTAAGATTTGAAGTTAAGACATCATTCTAGTCACCATCATTCTCCATTTTCTCTGCAACTAAAAGAAATGTAAAACTTTATATGAATGACTATTAAAGTTCATTAAAGCTAATCAAAATCTTTAAAATTTAAGTAATATGCTAACCTGGAAAATATGTCTCATTTGGGGATGTAACTTCAGACTCATCTTTTTCACCGGAAATATCCTCTTCATCAGAGAGGACCAAAAAGGCTTCTTTGGGCAAACTCTCACTACTTTCTTGTTTAGATGGTGAACCAAAAGAACCTTCCATCTTCTCCTCCAAATCTGGATTTGTCTCATCAATTGGAAGGAGAGAAGTTTTAGAAAAGCAAGTAAGTTCATCTTCAGCAGGTGCAAGCTTTTCCAAAATAGGAATGATTTCATCTGTCTCCATAGAATCTGTATTTTCTAAGATACCCTCACTTTTGTCATCTTTTATAACTTTTTCACTAATGGTTTCTGTAAAGTCTGCAGAATTTTCATCTTCTTTCTTTTCACTTTGGTCAATTTCCATACTGCTAGATATAGCCTCCTCTCTAAGGGCAGGTTCTGTGACAGTATTTTCCTCTACCTTCTTATGATTTTCAGGAGGCATATCTGAACAAATAATTTTGTCACCTGTTTCTGGAGTTTCTTCATCAGCATCGATATTACTATCAACCTTATTTTTGTCATCAGACTTTGCATCATCCCCATTTGTTTCAAGTTCATCACCTTTATTGCTATTAGGCTCTGTACTGTCAGTTTTAGGAACTGATTCACAAACTGGTAGAGAACTTGGTTCAAAAGTGGAATCAAAGGCTGATTCAGAAGTTGGCTCATCAGAAGTCAGTTCATCTGACACTGGATTATCAGGAGTCACATCACCAGAGGCCAGAGCTCCAGAGGCCAGATCACCAGAGGCTGGATCACCAGAGGCTGGAACACTGGAGACTGGTTCATCAGGTACCAGTTCAGTAGAGACCAGTTCACCAGAGCATGGTTCAGAAACTGTTTTGCCAGAAACCAGTTCATCAGTGTCCAGTTCACCAGAGACTGGTTCACCAGAGATGGGATCACCAGAGACAGGATCACCAGAGGTGAGATCACCAGAGATAGGATCACCAGAGGTGAGATCACTAGGGACAGAATCACCAGAGGTGATATCACTAGAGACAGGATCACCAGAGGTTAATACTTCAGAAGCCACATCTTCAGAAGCCAAATCACCAGAGGTCAGATCTCCAGTAGCCAGATCACCAGAAGCTTGTTCAGCAGTCACTCTGGAGACTAGTTCAGGAGTTGCATTATTAGAAGACAAAGGTCCACACTTTAAATCATCACCGTGCTTGTTTTTTACATTTACATTTAAGGAACAGGGTGTTTCTTTCCAATCTGATTTACTTTTTTCAGGGTCAAAACAAAGCTCTTCAATACCATTCACCTCTTCCTTGTCATTAATATAATCAGTATTTTCCAAAGGTGAGGTTGGGTCCAAGTCTCCATTTTCATGGTTGCCATTTAATAGCTTGACATCAGTTTTCAACAGCTCTTCTTTGACCTTGTACACTGCTTCAAGCTGTTGACGATCACTCACTCTCATTGTTTTTCGAGCCTTAAAGACTTTTCTCTGGGGTTCTTCTATACTATCCATTTTGAATCTTTAAAAAGAGAAAGAGAGATTAATAATTGAATAAAAGCCACTTAATTATAGACTTACTGCAAACTGCTGATCTTATAAGAAACACTTCATGTAATTTTGAAATAATGACATGTAGAAAGCATAATAATCCTTGCTATATTAATTTTTGTATTCGTTAGACTTATGTGATATAAAATTGATAACAAGTATAATCTATAGAAGATCAATTACAAAGAAATATTAGAAAAAAAGTGACTAGTTAGTTTCTAGTTTTCATTCTCAGTAATATAATGGAGTCAGAGTCTGGAGGAGATACATAAGCATAAAAAAAGTAAATGAAGTGGAAAAGTAAATGGAGAGAGAAAAATGAAAGTGTAAGAGACAGAAAGCAGTAGGGGAATGAAGAAGAGGTATAGAGATAAAGAAAAAAGGAGAATTAAGGAACACAAAAGGAAAGATTATATTTGCAACCAGACATATCTAGATTAACAGAAATGTAAACATATTAACACAAGATTACCATCAAGAAAGTGAAAAGACTACTCACACGGAAGTCATTTCATAAGTCATATTTATAAGTCATAAATTTGCAGACAGTGTTTGTTGAGACTTCCATATAAAAAATGTAAAATGCTTTTACAACTAAGTAACAACAAAAATAACCCAATTTAAATATAAGCAAAGGACCTGAGTAGACATTTCCTTCATAGTTATATAGACAATAGACAATAAGCAATAAACATGAAAAGATGCCTAACATTAGTCATCACAGAATATAAATCAAAAAATCAAAATCACTACAATATAACCCTTCCACACCCACGTGACTATAATTAAAGATAATGACTGTTGGCAAGGATGCAGGCAAACTGGAACCTTCACACAATGCTGGTATTTACAATACCACACAAGGTGGTATTGTAAAATGGTGCAGCTGCTTTAGAAACTGTCAGTTCTTCAACATATTAAAGATCAACCATTAATTTTCTATCTTTCCTCTTTTGTAATATATACATGTAAAAGCTATCAATTTCCCTCCAAGCACTGCTTTAGCTGCATCTCATATTTTGATGTCATGTTTTCATTGTCATTGTTAAAATATTTTGTAATTTCCATTATGATTTCTTCTTTCATCTGTTACTTACAAGTATGTTTCTCAAAAAGGTAATAAAACATTGTGACATGTGAAGCTCATTCAAAAAATCTACCTTTGATTTCATGTTCAAAAATTAAGCAGTGTAGATTATGAATGAATCATAAAGAATTATAGCTTTATTTCAGACCAAACCAAGGTGTCCACTTGATAAAAATAAGTTAGAGCCCTAGAGCCCAATACCTCAGAATATGACCTTATTTGGATAAGGTATTTGCAGAGGTAATCAAGTGAAAATAAGGTCATTAGTACCTAATTCAATATGATGATGTCCTTAGAAAAAGGGGAACATCTGACACTGACATACACACAGGGAGAACATCACTGGAAAACTGGGGTTAGGCTAAGACACAAGACACAGGAGAGAGGTCTGGAGCAGATCCTTCCTTGGCTTCTTCAAAGGCAACATGGCTTTGAAACACCTTGATTTCAAACTTCCAGGAGAGCCTCCACAGCTGTGAGACAATAAATCCCTGCTATTTGAAGGCAAAAAAAAAAA